TGGAGGGTAGGATGTTTGTTCTAACTATTCGTGCTGGTATTGATGGCTACCATATCAATGTTGGTGGGCGGCATGTGACTTCATTTCCATATCGAACTGTAAGCTGCTTGATCTCTTCCAAATAATTTTGATTGTTTTCTCTGTAGACATGCAAGTGTTCTGCTTTTCCCATGACTGAGCAAGTAACTATTGTAGGAGAGTGTTTTTAAGATGTTCTTCTTGGAATTGATTTTAGAGTAAGCACATTTTAGACTGCTGTGCCAGGCAATCACTATTCAACCACTGGAATACATTTTTCTCAAAAAAAGGCACATTGGAAATCAAGCTACTATTCAGATCTTTTGCCCACACAAATATTACCAAACAAAAAAAAAATGGATAACATAAAATGTTATCGTAGTGTTTTATCCCTTTTCTGAACCCCTTCACCAGATTCACGGATTTGTAATTGTTGCAATTAATATGATCACCAGATTTTCCGGAATTAATGTTTCAGTTTCCTCACATTTGTTATTTCCATACTAGTAAGCCATAGTCAGATGTTCTCTATTCTATCAGGGCTTCACACTGGAAGATGCTACAGGGTTGGCAATCAGAGGTGACGTAGATATACATTCGGTTTATGCTACATCTCTTCCAACCTCTCATCCAAGTTTTTCTCCCCAAAGAGTGTTGGATTTCTCAGAGAAGTGGAAATCTCTTCCTTTACCCAAGAATCGCATTCAACTTTTCATTGGGGTGCTTTCTGCCACCAATCACTTTGCTGAGCGTATGGCAATCAGGAAAACATGGATGCAGGCTTCAGCAATCAAATCCTCAGACATAGCAGTCCGCTTCTTTGTTGCTTTGGTAAGTTGCATCCCTCACCCAAATATTCCTTGGAGAGTAAAAATACATGCATGTTAACTTTGTGCATCCAAATATGTTTGCACCCCAGATGCAGTCATATTCCTTGTAATCACAATATTTCAAGCTCCTCCAATGAGCTGCCACTCTGACATGAGGTGATTAAGGAGATTGTCAAATGATAGGTCATGAAACATCTTTTTTTTTTTTAATAAAAAAGATGTTTCTTTGAACTGCTTTATTAATGCATTTATTTTTTCCTTTATCAAAAAGTTAGATATTATCATAGCAAAGATGTATAGTAAATACATACACATACATTGTGTTTGTGTGCGTATACATCATGTGGCTATTGAATTAGATAGTGAAAAGAAAAAAAATAGACCTACAATGCGCTAATCTAATGAGACATGAAGCTTGATGACAAAGCTCAATTCATAAATCATTACTGAAGAGAATAACAATGGATAATAAATGAAAAACATAGCAAAACTGGTTCACTGTTGCCTGGGTTGTGGGAAATGTCTAATGTTGTCAAATAACCTGGGGACAGTTCAATATAAGTTGAGTAAAATAGAGGTGATGGCCATGGGTATGCCATCTGTATCTTATATCGACAGGAGGGTCATTACTTCTAGCCAATAAACTCTCCTCCCATGTTCCAGTTGAAGTTAAAGTTGTGATTTCCATCATTCAAAGGAAATTAGATAAGGGTGTGCCCAGATCCTGAAAGAATTTACACTTCACCAGTTCACCTTATCGAAAGAAAAATACTAGAAAGAATTTGCTGTTTCCTTATGGGAACTTTCTGATTTCATTTTCCTCTCTCTGTCTTCCTCTCTTCCATGCTCCAACTGCTCATTAGACTTCGTTGGAATATAAGGAGTTCCTCATCATCATTGAGACATTTGACTAAAAACACTCTTGATGTTTCATGCAGCTAGAAGCCCCCAAATTTCAAAACTAACAAATATTAAAATGTACGCAGACAGAAACCAAGAGGATGATCAATGTGTTGTGTATCTAGTGCCAATTACTCTGCTTCTAAAAATACAGTTAGGGAACCCTAAAATTTGGCGCCGTGTCAATAAAGAACTTGAATGTATCTTCTCAAAAATTAAAGAGCTTGATTGTATAATGTGGCTATTCTGTAAGAACTATATTCAACTTTTTCCAATAAAAATACTACAAAATCTCATGTTGCGATAGCATATTTTGTCATAAACTCTGGCACAACTACTGTATTCATTAGTAGCTGGATAATAGATGTCAATATAATCACCCCTTTGTATTTGCCTACTTGGAAGATCCTTCAATCTTCATGGCTATCCCTGGAGCACAATGCACGCTTGTTACATTACATAGTTTATCATCTTTTGGGAGGTATTAACTTGCCGTACTATTCACTTGGAAGCATTCTTGCCATTTCTATCCTAGGATTTCTGAGGCGCTTTCATTTGAATATCTCATATATAAATGATGGTCAAACGAAAGTAGTGTTGCTTTCAGGTAAAGGAGAAAATTTATGAACAGGAAAAAGGTTGTGCTATTGTCCTCAGTACTACTTTATGCTGTTCTGCAAACACCGCTCTTTAGTTTTCCTTCACCAACTTATTTGTTTGTCGAACTTGCGCTATTATCTCTGCCAATAGCCAGTTTGGAATTCAACCTCAACAGATGTACTTATGTATTAACATTTAACTGTGTAGAATCCACGAAAGGAGCTAAATGCTATATTGAAGAAGGAAGCAGATTACTTTGGGGACATTGTGATTGTCCCCTTTATCGATAGATACGAGCTAGTGGTTCTTAAAACTATTGCCATCTGCAAGTATGGGGTGAGTTCTGCACTTCGCTCCATCTTCCTCTACTTCTCTAGACTGCTCAGTTGTGTCCTAATTTCTATCGACATGGCCCACAATATCTGTTGCAGGTTCAGAATGTGACAGCTGCATATATCATGAAATGTGACGATGATACTTTCATTAGGATAGATGCAGTCCTTAGAGAAATTCAACGTGTCCCTCCTAGACGATCTCTTTACATGGGCAATCTTAATCTCTTGCATAGACCACTTCGAACAGGAAAGTGGGCAGTAACTTTTGAGGTACAGAGATTTATATGATAATAGAGTTATTCAAAATCATGGCTACTGTTTGTTGATTTCTTATAGACACTAAAGCTAATTTGAAAATATTGACTTGTGCAACAGGAGTGGCCAGAAGATGTATACCCCCCTTATGCTAATGGACCAGGATATATAATTACAAGTGATATTGCCAAACATATCACTTCTCAATATCGGAACCAAAGCTTGCGGGTTTGTAACAGTTTATTTCTTTCGTTTTCTTCTTAATCATAAACCTGTTCAAAGTGTAGACTCTGAAATACGCATTCCCCCATCAAATTGACAGATCTTCAAAATGGAGGATGTGAGCATGGGTATGTGGGTTGAGAGTTACAACAGTTCAACTCCTGTACAGTACTCTCACAACTGGAAGTTCTGTCAATATGGGTGTATGGAAGACTATTTCACGGCTCATTATCAGTCTCCACGACAGATGTTCTGTCTGTGGAACAATTTACTCAAGGGTAAGGCCCATTGCTGCAACTTCTAGAGTGATATGACCATTTTTCGCTGCTTGATGGACGCACAATTTGAATTGCATCATCTTCTTCCTGCCTTGAGATCTTACGCGAAGAAATGAAGGTGTGTGTTGTTGTATCTGTTCAGATGGCTGTTTTAGCTTAACATATGATTTAACATGGAACATTGGCCATCGCGATGGATTTGTACATCCGGATTTATATACTGTGTACTAGTCATTGTATAGGATTCATGCCTCTCCGCCTTGTACCATGAAGAAACATACAGCGATTTGATATTGAGCTGAGCCTCCCCACTATCATAATTTTGGGTTGGGGCCTTCACAGTTATGTTTGTCCTTTAACGCTATATATGAAGCTTTTCTTCTGGCAATGTCAACATTACTTGCTCTTGCTCCTTCAAATTTTACATTTGATACTATTTCATTAACCCAGTACTAGTATTTTAATTTGAAATGATATACTATGAGTTCATCTTCATATTGATTGACTTTAATTAGAATGCTATAAATTATGATGATTAAATTTCACAAACATTTGTGTAACAACATATACTATATTTTCATCAGGTGGATAAATAAAATGAATGTGAATTAGTTGAATCTTTAGATGAAACTAAACAAGAAGATAGTAGAAAGCAAACTAAAATAATATGCTTAGATTGAAAGTGCATCAAAATCATATGCATATTTTAAAATTGTGTTTATTTAATTAAAATATCAATTCTCTTATTCATTCATAAACAAAGCAAAAGAGTCTAGAGTTTATTTATTTATACAAACCATGTGAAAAATTATTCATTCCAAAATATCTCATTTTGAAATATCTTTTTGGTACACAAAGAAAGAAGGGACGCGGAATGAGTAAATAATATGCTTAAATTGAAAGTGCATCAAACGATACATCCTTAATATTAATTTTTATTTATAAAATTCTCTTATTCATACATAATCAAAGTAAAAGAATTACGACTTCTGTATAAAAGTCACGTACAGCCCAAAAGATCTCATTAACTCTTTGAAGAATTAGCTATAAGATTCCTACACTTATTTTATTCCTAAGAAATAATATAGAAAAGAAAAACTATATCTGGAACCTCCGCAATAAATTGTACAAATAGTGGTTTGTTTTGAAGAGATAAGTATCAAAATCATTTCTAAATTTGGGGTAAAATATTAATTTCATTTCCGAACTATTGACAGTCTTAAAAACGTTCCTCTACTTGATCAATTGAAGTTAAATACACCATCAATCTTGCAAGATTAGTGAAATACCCCTTTAAGTTCTCATCAAGTGTAGGGTGTTTTAAACACTTCTTTCAATTTAAAGGTGTATTTCACTAATCTTGCAAGATCGGGGGTGTATTGAGCTTCAATTAGACAAGAAAATGAGTGTTCTTAAGACAGTCAATAGTACAGATATAAAACTAATAATTCACGTCAAGTTTAGAGATTGGTTTTAATGGTTCTCTCATTTTTCAATAATTTAAACCCGCGGAAATTAAAGCGAAAATTGGTGACTAGGCCGGTCTGGAAAGCCGGTCCAAATTTGTAGGACGGTTCAGGGTCACATTATCCTAACTAAAGCCCCTCCTAAAACCCAAGCAAAGGACAAAGGATAAGAGGAGTTATTTATAGCAATTTCGAGTTGCCAATTTCAGCAATGGCTTCTGTATTGTCAACTTCCTTGTATCAAGGTAACTGTGTTTTACTTGTTGCACCTTTGATTTTTGTAAAAATAATTCTTCTTCGCTTTGTAAAATTGGTTTTTTTTCTGTTATTTGCAGATAGAGGACTGAGAATTGTAGCCTCTACTGATGGATTTGTGCCAACTATTTGCTGCCCCTATCGGAAGGTGTTTTTAGATTATTATGAACTCCAACAAATCTTATTATGTTTGTTAATCACCACTGGAAGTAGAATCTTATACTCTGTGTTGTTAGATAATAAGTAAAAAGGAGCACTTTTACAAAATTGTTCGTCTCTAAGAGTTCAAATTGTTGATTTTAGGTTTATATGTGACTTTTTGTATCTTCGAGAGGAATCAATGGTTTGGGTGAGCTATAAGAGTCTAGAAGAGATTAAAATGGTTTATATAATCAATTCTATTCAAGAGAGGGATATTTTTGGGAGTTTGATATATGCTTGAGGATATGGTTAACGTATTCTAGAGTGTTAGAGCTGACGATCAGGGAAAGCTGTTTGAAGGAAATGTTTTACTTCAATGGCAAAGAGAGTTTGGTTAGATTTTAGGAGTTATTTGTAGTTTCATGGTAGTAAATTGTTTTCTGATTTTGATATGCATCAAATTTCCTTTATACAATTAATCTGTGTGCTCATCTTATAGCTGACTCTCTTTCTTATCCCTCCACATGTACACCAAGTTTACCTGCCTATGTTTACTTCTTCATTTGCTGAACTGTGTATACGTATGCATCTGCATTGAACACCAGCACATGTTGCTCTCTGTGACGGTGAAATTCATATTGTAATCGGGGAAGGAAGAAGGTTTAAATTTCTGGCAGAAATTATTCATGAATTTGCATCTTATGTTTAAGCATCTCTTGTTTAACATTATGAAGTAAAGTCTGGCAATATGTTCAACATGCATGCTCAAAGGAAGGTGCTCTATATTGTAGCAAGGTTTCTCATCATTTTTAAAAGTTTTCATTAATAGGAGTATGCATTGTGCTGGGAACCACCCAGACCTTGTTTACAGGTACTACTCCTGTTTCAATATGGAAGCTCAAATTTGTCTCCAGTAGTCCATTTCAAAAGGCTCCTTTAGCTCCTTGTATAAAGTGTGAGAACAAGGAAAAGAATCAGGGCTCTTTTGAGCAGGTGTCTGTCGAGCGTTTTCCTTATCACAGTTATATGGACTCCACTTCTGGGCAACTTGAACCAGCATCTGGAGCTCGCGCTAGTATTCCTGGGAAGGAGTACTGGCCAGAAGGCACAGCTAGTCGAGTTCAGGCCGCCAGGGCTCCTGAACCAGATGGTATTTCAACTGGAACTCCATCTTATGGAAAAGCTCCTGGAAGTAGAAGAAAGAAGTACAAGGCATCTGCTTCCTCTTCCCAGCCTTCAGAAATCAATGTAATTTCTGATGATCCTCTGGAGACTCCAGATAGTGTACCAGAAGAGCCAAAGGATCTTTCCTCAGAGTATGTCATTTATCAGCCTGAACAAGATGAAGAAGAGCTGACAGGCTATGAGCTAGATAAAAGACATGGACGGCCCCACCCATTTATTGATCCAAAGGTAAAGAAGGAAATAGAGAAGCCGCTTACTAGTGAAGAATTATGGTGGAATTGGAGAAAGCCTGAAAAGGAGCAATGGTCTAGGTGGCAGAGGCGGCGCCCTGATGTTGAAACGGTCAGTACTGAAAATATATACTGCTAAGTAGAATAAATTGTTTATGTGTGTAATCAGTGTAATTTAATTGTGCTAATCAAGATTGGATGTCAATGCTGCTCATGCTAGTTGCTTGCTCGATGCCACATTGTAAAATAGATAAATGCAAATCTAAAGTGGATAAAATGATATCTTCAGTAGAGACGCGGTGAATATTAATAATACATTTCTAACCACTTTAAACCTCCCTTGGTTCTCGAGCAGATTCAAACTTATATCATCATAACATTCTGACTTAGAGATTATTATTATTTTCCCTGGAACAGGTCTTTCTTAAAGCTATGGCAGAGACAGGACAAGTAAAGCTCTATGGTGAGCATCCTACATTGACAGAGACTGCGCTCTATAGAGCAAGGAGACATTTATATAAGGAGGAAAGGTAGAATCAGCAACTTTTTTAATAATGTTGCATCACATGTTCTATTCTTCAAGTTTTAGTCTCTTCCTTTTTCCCTTGCACTGAAATGTTAAAAGATGGACCTCACTCGTTTGGTATTAAACTTATTCATAAGCCCTTCGTCTGTCATGAATGCATGTCATAAACTATAGGCTACAGGGAACCTTGCAAAGAAAGGATAGGCAAACTGAGAGGAAGTATAAAATAAGCAAATTCCATTTCCTTAATGTCTTATTATGTGCTTGTACACTGTTGTATTAGTTCATTCTTGGGAAGCTTATTATGGTACTTATTACAAAGAGTCAAGCAACAAATATTGTGTCTTTTCTTTTTTTCATATTCGTAATGTATATTATAAATAGCATTAACATGAAAAAATTGTCAAACTTCAGTTAGATTGATGATCAACTCCATGTCCTCTCTCTTACCTTTTGCTTTATCTACTGCTTTCAAAAGCTATTGGTTCTGCAAGCTCTCTGGAGCTGGTTTTTGATGAAAAGTTAAGTCTTGACTTCTATTTTGTTTATGTTTATCTTTTACCTGTATTATCTTTATATCCGTGGTGTGGGGGCACTTTGCCTGCATCATAACTATGCTGGTCTACTATCAGCCTACATGCACATGTGGCCTAGGTAATCTTGTCCACTAAGGTTAGAATGAAGGGGATTACACCAAGTGTGTGGTTAGGATTTGTACTTGGGATCTTCAGGTTGTTACTCCCATGCCTTAACTATTAGGTCATTGCCTTGGAGACCCGTTCTGATTTTATTTTCTGAAACTTGTCCCTTGTATTGTTCCCTAATTGACAGATCTTTGAGTTGCTAAATGACTTGGCAATCTACTTTCCCCGTTCAAGATGAACCAGAATACACTTTCTATTGGAACTAAGAACTAATAAGTGGGCAATGCAGGCTACAGGCTGAAAAAGAAAAAATGGAAAAGATTGGTCCTATTGCATACTACTCAGAGTGGGTCAAAGCTTGGAAAAGAGATACTTCTCGAGATGCCATTCAAAAGCATTTTGAAGAGACTGGTGAAGATGAGAACACTCAACTCATCGAAATGTTCTCCCATCAAACAGATCGTGAATACCGGATAATGATGGGAACTGATATGCGTATTCCTCGTGACCCGTTGGCCATGAGAATGCGGGAGGATCAAATAAAACAAAGTATCTCCCTTCCCTCTGGCTGAACTATACTTCATAACTTTTCCTGCTTTTTCTTGTGACTTGTGAGTATCTGTGTACGCAGCTGGTTTAGAAGTGAAGGTGATTGGAAGTTGGGGGACAATGATTTATTATCGGGTAGTTATAGGGATCTTTAGCTTGATTATTTCAGGAAATTGCCATCAAAAGTATTTTCAAATTATTTTTTTGAACAAAAATATCTAAACATAGCCTGAAGTAATTGAGGTAAAAAAAGTGCCTGTCTCTTTATCCTGTCAGAATGATTGGAAATTATAAGTGATTTGTTCTGATTTATTCGGTTTTCTTTTTCTATTTTGACTGGAAATCAACAATTTGCTTTTTCCTTTTCTTTTTGTGCAGTTTGGGGTGGAGATCCAGTTTACCCGACCATTAATTACATTCAAGATCCTGATGAAGTGATTGATTTCAGGGGTCCAGACTTCCATGAACCAACACCAAATATGTTGGCCTATTTGAAAGAGGTTTGGTTAAGCAACTTGCTATTCAATACCCTACATGGTTTTTCTGCCTAGTTAACTTTGTTGACCTTATTTCTGACCTCGTTTTCACATATGCACTTCAAATTAATTGCCAAGTGCTAGTACATGCACTGTTTATTATCAAAAGCTACAGAATTAGTGATGTATTTCATGTTTAAGCAAATGGAAATGGAGATACTGTGCTAAATTCTGTTTATGCTCTTTGCCTCCATATGAGATGTTGCATTATTTACTTTGTAGAGATACTGAGGCTCAATCTCTTAACTAGATGAATAGATATTAACTAATGTTTCCAGTAAACTTGATGGTTATCCTAAACCAATCAATCAATGTGATCTATCATGAATACAATGGAAGCAAAGGATCTATCTATGTAGGCTATACTTTCTTGTTGATATTAGGCAGTCGTTGTTGTTGTGCCACTTACATGACATCCAATGCTTATTATAATGAGAGATTTATAAATCCTTTAGAGCTAAGAATGAGAAATAGGCTGGTATTAGAGAACCCTTAAAATTGTGTTAAAAGATGAGGCAATGGATGCAGATAGAGTGGAATAGATGCAAATGAATTTATAAATGATGACGTTTTTCAGGCCATTTTGTGTGCGCATCAACTAATTCACGAGCAGACTGCTACAACCACCAAGTTTGGGGCAGATGGGCCCACACTGAATGTTGTAGTTAGAATCTTGAAGTTTTTATTTCTATCTGTCAACTGCTAAGTCATCGCCTCGGGGACATATAGAAGATCCATTCAGCTGATTCCAACTAATTTGGTATCAAGGCTTAGTTGATTAATTCAGACTTGAGGGATATGCAATTTGTCAAATTGTTATGGGCAAACAACTAGGTGTATATAGCTAATGAGGAATATGAACAAAATCTCTTCTAAATGTGTTATTTTTACTTTTGGAGATCAGGAAAGTTTTAAATTAGGTAAAAGGTCTAGTAGATTATGAAGATGAAGGGAAGTCAAAGAGAATTGAGATGGAAGTTCCAGTAAGTCAAGCCAAATTTTGCTGATAGGTCCACTTGATGAAGATTTGACTTTACTGAGCTTTGTGAATGTGATGAATCTAATCAAAAGGATTCTAGATCAGGTTTGGTGATTGGAGAAGATAACTGTTTGTATGGTAAATATGTTGTAGCATACTTCTTTAGCTGTCATGTTAACTCAAGAAACAAAAGGCTACAAGTATAGTTGTTATCGGCTGTGTATAGAGTTGATATACCTGTTTTAGTGATTATGTTTTATCAGCCTATCTTTTACTAATTTATGTTCGGGGTTTTATCGGAACATTTTGTTATCAGCATGGCAAAATTATATCAAGAGAGGAGCTAGAGAAAATTCTGGCGAAAGAGAAGACGGAAGAAATTGAGGTAATAAATTTTCATAGGTATTTATAATACTTCGTTTCATTCTCTGAGTTTTGTGTAAAAAGTACTATTCCTTGCAGTTGCATTTGTTGTTTTATTGCATTGCTGCTAACAAATTGTTATACATGTAAAAGCTTCAATTGAATAGTTTATCTATTTGTTATTTATAGAATTTACTTTTTAAGGAAAGAGAAATGATGATGCAAATGATGTTGAAGCAGTGTTAAAATTCATAGATTCTCTTTAAGGATAGGAAGGGATACACTCTCTGGGTTGACTGTAAATACTTTTAATTGCACCTTCTTGGTGTGATATCTTATAATACACTTACCTCTCTTGAAAAAAATTACTTTTTAAGGTGTACAAGCAAAACTACTCTAGATCCCAGGCACAAATATGTTGCAGTTAGCTTGCACATAAAATTGAAAAAATTAACTCTAGCAAACTGTTGTCTACTTCATTCTTCAATCTTTTCTTATGCATCAAATAATATTGCAATCATCAACAATCAGATTGCTTAACATTAGTACCCTGTCTCCTTTTCTTTGAATCTGTTCAGTAAAAGTACTTTCTTCTCTGCAACAGGTGGCAGAAATTGATGAAGCTATGGCAAGAGCTGTTGACATTGGTGAAAATGATGTGAGATCATTCTTATTCTTACTTTGTTCTAGTTTTGGTGTTTGATGAACTTTGTTTTGCTTCATCCTGAACTTCTAAATTTTCTAATTTGCTATGTTGGCCTTGTATGTTAATCATTAGTTTTATGTCAAGTAACTCCTCTTGGTGGTTCAGGATGAAGAAGAAGGAAGTGAGGCTGAAGGTGAAGAGGAGGATGAGAAAATTACACGCAATTGGAGTGTTTTGAAAAGTAATCCCGAGCTTAGCAAATCAAAGGTAATTTCCTTTCTACTGATCATTGATTTATTGGTTTCCTTTCTGATCTTATGGCTCAATTTGTTAAATCAATTGAAAGGATGATTGATTTAGTGATTTTGTTATATACTGCTATGCTATATATTTGGCTAACAATCTGGTTTTTCTTGATGTCTATACTTGCCTAAAAGTCTAAAACTGCTGTTTTTCGGTTCTATCTGTCCTTTGCTACATGGTTTGTAGTAGGGGTGGCGAAATCAGCCCAAATAACCATGACCCGCCCAATCCATATATGTTTGGTGGATTAATGACCTGTTAATTTGATTAGCTGGGCCCATTATGACTTACTTAGTTCAGCCTATTTTAAAACTGGGGTAATATGCAGCATGAGACATATCGTCTAAATATAAAATAACTTTTTTTTTATTTTATATGTTTTTTATAGTCATAATAAGAAAATTTTATCAAGTACCCGAACAAATTATAAGAAACAAACTTTGAATTTAAAACTTAGTAAGCATTGAGCAGGTTGGTTCATAACCCGATTTTTAGTGCATTTCAGCCCAAACAACATTTAAGCGGGTCAATGGCCCGCCCATTTATTAACTCAACCCATTTTAACATTCTCAAACTCAGCCCAACCCGCCCATTTGACCCCTCTAGTTTGTAGCAAATTATTCCTCTTAAGGAAATTTCCTCTGTGCGTGGAGATAATGGAATACAAATTTTATACAATAGGATGCACTTCATGACCTTGCAGGGTAAACCCAAAAAGAAAGACATGTCTTCTTCTTAATGTAATTTTTATTTGGAGTTTCACAACAGCATGCACTTCATGACCTTGCAGGGTAAACCCAAAAAGAAAGACATGTCTCTGGAGGAAGCTGTAGACGATTCTGAAAATTTAACAGACTTCCTTATGGACTTTGACGAGGATGAGTGAGGCTAATGGACGCCCCAGGCTATCAAGGTGAGCTCCTTCGTCTGGAAAATGGAAACAGAGGTGCTTGACATAAACTTCTTTAGGTGAAATGAATCTATGTTCTGTGCACGTACTGTACATACATTTAAATAACCTTTGTTTCGACGTGATGAGGCATCACACAGAAAAATCATTGTGAAACCCCATAACTTGTAATGCAACTTTGCAATAAGAACACCCCTTGAACTCTGTGCTTTCACACAATCTTGTGATTTGACCTGATTATTGGCCATTCATACCATCTAAATCAACAAAAATAAGTTTGTAAGCCAAAAGAAATTCCATGTTGATGCATCACTACATGGGCGAATTATGATCATATATATACCTGACTACGCAAGAGACCCTCTGGTGCATGTTCTCGTTACTTTTTTGCAAGATGGTCCAAGTTGTTTCATCAATGATAGAGAATTTGTTTCTACCTTGCAGGATAAGCAAATTATTTTCATCCCCATCAACAAAGCTCTGTTGATTACAGCACCAGCATCTTCCCTATGATGGAGTCGATGAACATATATTGGATGATTGATACGATCTGGCAACAAGGCCAACTAACTTGGGAACGGTTTGTTGTTGATGCTGCTGTGACTCTTAAGCAGCATCTGCTGAAGATCTTCACCCCAGAAGAGTAGATTTTTTATAGAAAGCTTTGGGTATTATTTTTGTGGATGTAATTGGATTATCTTGTAAAGCAAATGAAAAATGGAGAATGCTAATGTAGTAGCTTGTATCCAGCACACAATGTGAACTTTTGAAGACGCGGTTGGTATACTAACCAGAAATTAGAAGCAGATATCATCTTCTATTTAATATCAACTCCAATGTCTTGTAGTTGTTTCAAGTTGAACAATAGAGTATTTTTGGTACTTGTGTTTCAGAGGGTGTTGTAGCTTTTAAGCTACCTTCTGTATAGTGAAACCAAAAGGAGTGGATGGATGGTGGTGAGTGGTACCCCCGAATAGGGCCCTACTTGATGCAAATCCGAATTAGTTGGACTCTCCATATCCACACACACACAGAGAAAAGTAGTTCACATTGACAAATAGTTGCCACACTTGCTCTTCTAATTATTTTATCTGTCCAAAAGGACAACAAGAACAAAAATACCTCAAAATCAACATTGAAAATAGAGAAGTTGACTTGGATCAATCTGATCTCAAAGGTGAAAGCAAGTCTAGAGACATGGCTGAAGCTGCAATCATATTCTTTCAGAGAAGGCTAGGCTATCAGTTAATACAAGAAGGAAATGTTCTATCAGGTGTGCAAGATGAAATTGAGTGGATGAAGAGAGAGTTTGAAGCCATGGTAGCTTTTCCAAAAGATGCTGACAAGAGGCAACAGAGAGATGAAACTGTGGCTGGTTGGGTAAAAGAGGTAAGAATTTTAGCTTTTAATGCTGAAGATGTTATTGATAAATTTCTTATTCAAATGGCTACTACTCATTAGAATAGCTTATACTTCTTTAAGTACTTCAAAATAAGGTATCAAATTGGCTCTCATATCAGAAAACTCAAGAAACAAGTCATTGAAGTCAAAGAAAGAAAAGATAGATATGTTGTCAATGGATTAATGATGTGTGAAGATGCATTAGCTGTTAGTAGCTATAGAGGCACTGGTGGGATGTCCTCTAGAGGGCCTGGTGCAGCATCCCCTTTTGTTCGAGAAGACGATATTGTGGGAATTGAACATGATGTTGAACAGCTAATGAAACTCATATTAGAAGGGAATGTGAAGAATTTCCTCGCGATTTCAGTGTTTGGTATGGGGTGGGGGGAGTTTGGCCAAAACTACTCTTGTGAAAGAAGTTCTCAAGAAGTCAAAAGAGTTGTTGTGTCATAATCTTGTAATTTAAAGGATGTCTTGAAACACATCCTCTTTGGATTCATAGCTAAAAGAGGAGAGCCAGCTCTGGATGTAATGGGTGCCATGGATGAAGGATGGTTACTGGAGAGGATCAATGACTACTTGCAAGACAAGAAGTACTTGCTAGTTATGATATATGGGATGATAACCTATGGGAAGAGCTTAAACATGCATTTCCGCGAAAAAGGGCGTATCATAATTACAACAAGACTTCGCGGTTATAGCATCTCCTCTTGAGGATAATTTCCACACCTATTAACTCCAACCCCTCCCTTATGAATTAGCTTGGAAAATCGTTTGCAAGAAGGCGTTTCGATCATCTCAGGGGACTTGTCCTGATGAGTTGAAGGAATTCACAGAGGCTATAGTGAGAAAATGTGGAGGTTTGCCTCTTGCAATTGTAGCCATCGGAGGCTTATTGTCGTGTAAGGGAAGAAATACTCGTGTGTGGCAATCTGTTCTCGATACCTTAGATTGGGATCATAACCGAGACATTGGGCGTCTGAACAAGGCCTTGTTGTTCAGCTATAATCACCTTCCATTTTACCTTAAGTATTGTTTCCTTTATCTCGGTTTGTTCCCTGAGGACTATGAGATTGGGAGGAAAAAGCTGATCCGAATGTGGGTGGCCGAGGGGTTTGTTGAAGGAACTGCTCAGAGAACAGAAGAAGAGGTCGCGAACTATTACTTTGTGCAGCTTACTGACAGGAGTATAATTCAAGCAGTCACTATACATGCTCGAGATGTAGTGAAAGCGTGCAAGCTGCATGATCTAGTGTGTGATGTGGCCAATCAAATGCTACAGGAAGAGAAATTTGGATCCATGATAAAAGAAGTCGACAAGAACATTCAAGAGAGACAAAGGAGACTTGCAATCTATGAAGATGCAGATAGTATCCCCTCAGACATCAGTAAGTTGAATCTGAGATCCCTTCTTTTTTTTAGAGTAAATGAATTGTCATTTTCTGCTCTACAAAAACTGCTAAGGCAGCTCAGATTGGTAAGAGTTCTAGATTTACAATATGCTCCTCTAGAAAAACTACCAAATGAGATTGGTAATTTGATTCATCTCCGGTACTTAGATTTAAGAGGGACTTTGATAAACGAACTTCCAAAATCAGCGAAGAATTTGAGGAATCTACAGACATTGGATGTGAGAAACTTGGAAGTTAAACATTTGCCTGCTGGAATCAATGAACTGCAACACCTAAGACATCTTCTCCTGTCAAGTTTCCGCGACAGGGAGAATGGATTTGTGAAGATGGCTAGTGGGGGACAAGACTTCGTGAAGCTACAAACACTATCTGGAATTGAATCAGATGAAGACTTAGTAAAACAAGTTGGAAGTCTAAGAAGCTTGAGGAAAGTCTACATAGGGAGAATGACACAAGCCAACAGCGGAGATTTTTGCCAATCATTAGAAAGGATGAACAAGTTGAGGTCCTTAACAGTGCCATTTGAGCAAAACATACAAATGGAATCTCTCACAAAGTCCACTAAGCACTTGGAGAAACTCAAACTCCAAGTCCATATGAAAAAACTGCCAGGACGGTTCGATTCTCTTAGTTGCCTTCACTCATTGTACCATTTCAAAAACTTCTTAACAGAAGATCCATTTCCTATACTTGGAAAGCTTCCAAGCCTAGCTATTCTGACATTAGCATCTTCAGCTTACGTAAACAGCATCGTTAACATCCCTCCAGGAGGATTTCCTAAGCTTAAACTACTGAGGATTCTTGGCATGGAAAATTGGCCTATTAAGAAGGGTTCTATGCCAGAAATTCAGTTTCTTCTGATAGTGAATTGTCACCTTACTAGCCTTGATGATCTCACCCTTATGGGCATGTCTTTCTTTTTCGCGCATAAATTGCAGAGCAGAGATAAATGGAAAGTAACTCATATCAAGGAAGTTTCAATCATTTCAGAAGTCAACGGCCAAATTGTCAAGAAAAAACTCAACACTCCTCTTGTTAACTAGAGTATTCAAATGGGTACTGACATGTTTTGTTTCTATAACATTCTATTGTGCTATTCAGGCAACAATATACTATAATGTTGAAATTGACAAGAGAGTTTACATTGCTTGTTTCAATTCCCGTGTTATGTTTTGTTCATTCTTTCGTTTAACACCATGTTTATTTCTACGAAGGCCTACCTAGTTATGCATGTTTATGTCTACTAAGTGCTGGATTGTGTCTAAATAAATCTTACTACAACGTTTTGCATATTGGTTGATTGTTACAGTTCTTTTTTTTGTAACAAAAGAAAACATAAAGACTGTGAAACTTATCATATCATCATTTTCAACAATAGGTATATCATATGAAATCACCTTCAAAATAAAATGTATTTGGACACTCACAGTAGCAGAAAGAAAATAACTATGTACTCACAGTAGCAGAAAGAAAATAACTATGTATTCGAGCTAAATAAAGTTCTCATGAATTTTTAGGTGACCATTTGCATTGAAGCTTTATCACCACAGACAAACAATTTTTACGTAGGAAAGCTTGCACATTGTTGATGTGGAAGTGATTATAAATGCAGTTGTGCTTTAATAAAATTTATGAGAGCACTATATATAAAATTCATGAGACATAAATGAATGATCTCATGGCCAAGGCAATTAAACTAAGCGACCAAAAAAACACTATCACATAAAAAGCAAATGAATGATCTTAAACTCAGTCAAACCTATTTTCCCAACAAAACAAAGTTAAACGGTACCAAATACAAAATTGCTAAAATTCAACATACAAAATGAGATTGGTATCTCTAAACAGTGAGAATCATGGCCCAACCTGTTAAATTCATCATAAGTCCAACCTAGACATTTTAAGCAGCTGTAGCTGACTGAGCAGCCATCCTCTTGCGAGCCTCTTCAATGATAGATAACTTGATACCTTTACCCTTAGGTAGAGACACCCATGGCTTACTACCCTTGCCAAGAGTGAACACATTGCCCAGACGAGTAGCAAACTCGTGCCCCAGGGAGTCCTGAATGTGAACTGTCTCAAAGCTACCCTTGTGCTTCTCCCTGTTCTTAAGAATTCCAACACGTCCCCTGTTTCTACCACCAGTAACCATGACCACATTTCCAACATCAAACTTGATGAAGTCAACAATCTTGTTCGAATCTAAGTCAAGCTTGATAGTGTCATTGGCCTTGATGAGGGGATCAGGGTAGCGGATTGTTCTTCCATCATAAGTGTTGAGATATGGGATCCCCTTCTGTCCAAACTGCACTGATCGAACCTTACAAAGTTTGAACTGCAAAGAGCAGAAACAAGGTCACTACTTTAACAGCACAGCATCCAAAGCAAACCGGAATAAAGAAGAAGCAGGAAACAGATTCAAACCTTGGCTTCCTCATCTCTGAGTGAGTGGAGACGGAACCGACCCTTAGTGTCATAAAGAAGTCGGAAGCTCTCATTCGTCTTTGGAATAGTAACAACATCTACACAAACAAAATAACAGCATTACCAATTTATCAAGGAATTCAACAAACATAGCAACAAGAGAACAAAGAAGAAAAAGGACACGAGACAATGGTTTTTGATAAAAAAGCTTGTAGACAATCTGATCAACAATTGTCTTCGGAACTGTGAAACCATGTGTATAGATGAATCACTAAGATAACAAACCTAAGCAGCACAGAAATAAGGAGAACAAAAATCTAAAGATTATGAAATGAAAAAACAATCTAATGGAGCTGTTCTTACCCATGAAACCAGCAGGGTAAGTCTTATCTGTCCTAACTTTCCCATCAACCATAACTTGGCGTTGCATCAAGATAGAAATGACCTCACGGTACGTCAACGCATATTTCAACCTGTTCCTCAGGATAATAACCAATGGCAAACATTCCCTTGATTTATGTGGACCAGAAGAAGGCTTGGGAGCCTGCAGTAGAAACAAAGGAGAAGAG